GCTTCATGCATGGTCGAATAACGAACAACACGGTGCGAACTGGGTTCAACATCGGACGTGTAATGCAACGAATGGAGTGACGATGACATGTCAATGTCGATGACTCCTGGGTGGACAATTGAAATCCAAGGCACGTTACACCAGAGAAAAATGTCAAGATGAGTTCTACTACTCTTAGTTCTGTTTGGAACCTGGTCGTGACCTCCAAAATGTGAGAGGGACAAACATGGTGGCTTCGCCGGTTCATCGACCTCTCTGGAGGTTCGGGAACAGCTCTTGCCAGGTGAACATGAAAACGTCCAACCTTTAAGAAATTTTCCTCTGAACCGGGGCTTAGGATTGAATCAGGGTCTAGACCTGTTGGCTTGAATGCTGGTCTAAGCTGTTGGCTTTATAACAGCTGCTGCATAAATGACTCAGTAACAGAGTGGCTGTTGACTGCGAATTGACTCAGGCTTAGAGACCTGTTGGCTCAAAGCTTACTATGACTTTAGTTGTTGGCTTGAATAGACGTTCGTCCGCACATATGTCTTACTTAGTTATTAAGCTTCAGATCCTAGGCACTGTCCAGCTTCACTTCCAGTGGCTATTGCGCCGCTGGCCACATTTGGTTACTTGAGCCAGTGAATCAAACACATCACTCGAGCCAAGGGCTGGGGCAGCGTTTATGCGGAGCATTTTAAATGAATACTTTTTTTGCAAATACATAGGTTAGAAAACATATTATGTGTATGTCTATATATATATATATATTTTTAACTTCTTCATATATTTCTTTGTTATTCGCAGTCTTCTTGTCGCTGGGCCCAATCACCTTTGTTAGCCACACCACCTCCAAGTGGTGGCATCAATGGACATGCGATCTTCAAAGAGAAGGCAATGACTCAGACGTTGGCTTGCACCAGGGACCAGCAGGGGGCATCATAGTAATTTCAATTGTGTTGCGCAGTACGCATTGTGCTACAGACCAGTTAAAAATTTGCAGTTACTTCGTTGCACCGGTTTCTTTTACCAATGGCACTTCGTGGGGCGAATGGCGCGTTGTGGGTGCAAGAATCCCTTGTCATATTAATACGTACTTAAGTGGAGCTATAAATCATTGTTTGCGGGCGCCGTTGGCATGCTTCTTCACACTGCGCTTGCCTGCGACACTTTTGCTGTTCGCTGACTAGTTAGCGGCGCACAACCTGTAAGCCGGTAAGCAAGTCGCACACATTGCGTTGATACATCTACATGGGTCCAGTGCAATCAGTGAAAAACGCTGTCAACCATTGGATCAGCGAACGCGATGTCGTGTTTCATTGGGTTCGATGCGTGCGTCATAATGCTTTGAAAGAGTTTGTAGGTAGCGGGTGGATATGCATGTTCAGTTGAACTCTTTCAATATGCTGTGTTGTGCATTCTTCAAAACGAACATCATCGCACGTATGTACATACTTGTCAATCATGTCAAAGAACATCACAGAACGTTGCATGCAGGAATGCAAAACGCAAACAGTCCAAATATACAAACACATACACAAAACACACAAACATATTATACACAAACAACCCAACAAACAGACAAACAAACAAACAAACGCACAGGTACAAACATCAATGCAACTATACAAACTGACATTACTTGCAGATCAGATGCTACATAAATACTCACATACATACAAAGATACATACGTACGTACCTGCACACCTAAATGAACACAATCATACATACGCACATGCTTCACACGTACAAACCTACATACTTACAAACAGTGAACATACACATATGTGCTTCATGCATCCTACTCGGCCACGGCCATTCATTCCTATGTACACCTCTTCGACCAAACCCCCATGTCCACATTCTGCAATTTTCCAACACACAAACATACATACCTAAACATTACAGAACACGCCCAGCACAAATGCTCGCAGCTACATGCCAAAGCACAAAAACACAAAAACAAACAATCAATGCCAGCAACCAAACCCGCAAACAGCATCTGCCAAACACTGGCACCATCATCATTGTCGACTGCCCCGGCTCTTGTGAGCTACTGTGGTGGAAATCAATCGAAAAGAAAGACAATCTAAACAAGTTAGAGTAACTACCATGTAACGACTGAACAGCGTCATGTTCGTCTACGTGTCCAATGAACGCTGAAGTGTTGAGAAAAATGAACCTCAAACTTGAAGTCATTGTTCAAATTATCAAACCTGTTTCGGGTGCCCACGCACGAACCTAAACACAGTGCACGCGAAAATGACAACTGTCAAGAAGATAGATACATGTCAATGAACATCAAGGACCAACTTGGCCAATCATTGGCCAAGGGTGATGCAACTTTTTGGCTGCGAAGTTCAGCTGTACGCATCACCGACTCAAGCCTACCGAATGGATCCATGGGAATCTTTGACTCTGAGGTGGATCTACTCAACGTCTTCGGGAATGGCAAGAGGAGGGTCTTCTTCGCCTACCTCCTCTTCCTCTCCCTCCTGAGTCAACTTAACATCACCTTTCTCTGCCACCGGTGCTTCGCTAACTTCAGAAGCACCCGCCGCCCCCGTTGCACTCGGCTCAGCGGGCGGCTCAGTCGGCTCACCACCTCGCGATCTCTTCATGGGGTTGGTGAGGGTTAATGGGTTGGGGGTTATGGTAATTGATTATACGCTAAGTTCATGCGCATGGTATTACAATAATATAGTAAAATGAAATGATTCCAACATGTTGAGTTATTACGTTCATGTCAGGGCTCCTGGACTGAGGGTTGTTTAGTTTTCCCCCGTCTGATCTTAGGGACTTGCAACAAAAGTTTTAAACCAGAAAGGTTGGAAGACTTGCCCCGAAACCATGGTCTCCATTGGCTGCCAGCCACTTGCTCTTCAACTCGCCCTGGAACCAGTCAGAAACTTCCAATGCAATTGGAAAACGAAGCGAAAGTTTGAAACAACGTTCCAAGTGAAATTTGCAGCCTACTTCAATGAGGGCAGCACCACCAACTCCTTCACAAAGGTTACCGTTGAACCATCGAGCAATTTCTGGTACCCGATATCCTTAACAGTCAATTTCAATCATGACTGAAAACCATTTATTGAGCGCGAGTTGAAAACAGAAGTGGACAGCCACGCTGACAAAATGTCACGACAAGTAGCTACAATCTGAGACCCAAGCCGCCATCTCCTTGCTCTTTTCCATGGGAATCTTGGGTCCACCGACCTGCTACTCCGCAGCCACATTCAAGAAACAATACCACTATCTAACAAGACCACGACCTTGCTAAGTATGAGAAATAAGCCATGCCACAGAGAAGACTTGCTTCCCATCAACTTTCACTGCCCAGGTGTTCAAAGCACGATATGGAAAAGGCTTGGAAATCTTGGCGACTTCACCAGCTCCTCAGTCGTCTTGAAGCCAATCATATTTGACTGTATGAAATGAGAACCCAAGATGGGAAGCAAGCCACTGAGAAATCTTTGTTGGGGATGACTCTCGCATCACAATTTGGTTGTAAGATTGTAAGAAGTTGAACTGCAAAACTAAGCCCAAATCCTGCAGCAGCTGCCTCCATGGCGGCAGCTGGGCGGCAGCTGGGCGTTTCAGGGCTCCTTTTCTCGGCTTGGCTGCCGGTTTCTTTTTTACCTCCACCTCACCCTCTGGTTCCGCACCAGGACCGTCTGGTTCTTCAGGTTCAATGTTCGTGTCTGGCTTCTCCTCAGAACTGTTTGCCTTTGGCTTTGCCTTTGCTTTTGACTTTGACGTGGCTTTCAACTTCGGCAGCACCTTCTGTTTAGGTGTGGCCTTTGGTTTCGGTTTCGCTGCGGCTTCCTGTGTTCTTCCCTGACAATTGGAAGCAGATCAAGTGATATCAACTACACATTTAAACCATACTGGTTTCTGGCATGGTCATAAAAGTACCAGCCTCGTGAATGTCCTCTGGCTCACTTCCACTCAGCTCTGTCACTGCTTTTGGAAGAACTCCAACCATTTTCCACTCGCCGAGCAGAAAGGGACAACCCGACTTCTGATGTTCACTTTGAAATCGGTGGCTGCGTCGCATGAAAACGAAAAAGTGGCGCCGGCGCATTCAGCAAGAGAGGACTAAGTAAACCGCGGATGTCAGGCAGGGATGTCGACTGTTTTCTTGGCAATCCCATGTCGTGTCCAAAGTCGGAACTGCCAGCTATCATAACACACATGAAGCCTTGACATGGCTCCAAACGCGGAAGTGTGAATGGCATATCAGAAAAACCTGATGCCCCGTAGGCCGAACTGAACCCAAGCCGGCAATTAGTCAAACATTTCTGAGCAAAAACAAGTACCAGCGCAAATAGTCAGGTTACAATGAAGATCAACCAACAAAACTTATGGCAATCTCCATCACACTGGATACGCTCGGCTGCGCTCAGCTTTTCAAAATCTGCCTACGTTCTGGAAAACCTCTTTCTCAGGTGAGCTTGGTGTAAGTCTGAGGCGGCAAACGGATCTGGCAGGTCAAAAAGACCTTCGGCTTCACTGGAGCGATCTTTGGCACTGAGCTCCCGGTCAACACGGACACCTGCAAAGCAAATTTCAAGAAGTCAGAAACAACAAAAATCGCTCACATCAAGAAAAGAAACAAGAAGACATCAAACAACTGCAACAACTTCAATGCAAATGTCAATCACACCTCCCAAACCAAAGCCAATCTGGGGTTCGACTGCTGCACTGGGACTTTATTGCACTGGCCAACATACACAGCCCCAAGCGTGGCAGCGCGATGGTTCTCGTGATCAAAGCTGCTTGCAACTGGGTTTGGTTTGAAACAAGCTGTCTTGCTTGAGTTCACTGGGCCAATCTCAAAGCGGAACGAGAGCGGCGGGGCATCAGTCTGAGACTGGCCTTCCTGAGCGGCACAGAACGCCAGACTAGAGAAAAAATAATTGTGCAAATAACTGTTCATGGCATGGCTGAGAACTGGCGTTCTTGAATCTTAACGGCTCAACACCCAGCTAACTACCCAGCTAATTACTGAGCAAAATCAAGTCGCTTCAGGGGCCCTCATCTTGGGTTTCATGTCATGATCCTCCAACTGAACCTCGCCCAATCCATCCTCACGGGCGAGTTGGCACACGTACTGGCACACCATCATGAGCTTTTTGTTGTGAGACACCAAGGTTGTGTCACTCTCAAGTCGCCAAGGGATCGAATTCACTTCCCGCTCGCCCAAGCCTTGGCCACGTCAACCATCATAGCAACCCACACATCGACTAAATTATTGAGAACAACGCAGCACAGCCCAGCGCTGCTGCCACGGCACCTTTGACAATCTTGGATTCAAAAGCACCTGTGAAAAATCCGAACAACTCACCAGCCGGGCAAACGATCTCCGTGTTCTCCAGGTTGCCCAGGTAAATGTCAAGCTCTTTGCTTATAAGGATGCTCGGTTTCCCACTCTTCCCCTGGCAAAATGCAAGCCTGCCAAGTTGCTGATTGAACACCTACGACCCTCTCTATGTGAACCACGGGGAACGGTTTGGCAAACGGTGGCAAGTTGGCTGGTGTAAAATGAAGCAAAGAAATCCAAGCGTTGGATTTAGTCCCTGGGCCTCTGAACATCGAAGCACACAGCAGAGATATGAGCCGCACTGATTTCGCGAGTGACATCCAGAACTCTGGCGCCGGTCAAATCAGGCAAAGCACTCGTGCGAACAGGGGCCGCTGGGCTATCTCTCTCTGGTTGTGGCTGACTTGGCCAAACGGCCTTGAGTTCTTGCTCCAGCTTCAAGATCTCATTATGCTGAGGTGAGCCCACTGGGAAACTTCCAAGGACCTGGTCGGGCAACTTCGGCACTGAGCCTGCCCATCTCAAAATTGTAAGGGCTGGCCGCTCCTGTTCTGTTCGTGGACGCTGCTTCGGCCCTGACTCATCCGACTCATCCCACCACTTGTAGATTTGCTGCTCCAACTCACCCACAACACTTTTCATGTCTGGGCGCATGATGCCCATGTAGTGAACTTTTGGCACCTGATTTGTTGCCAAGGCCCGATCCAAAGCGGCTCGTCCAAACTCAGCTTGCCTAGAAACTCTGAACAAACAACGGTTGAAAGAAACACGAAACTCCTTCACTCGTTGAAGGTTAATCGACTTAAAAGCATGGCATCTGTTTGATGTGAATACGAAGCAAATTCAACCACACCCCCAACCCAAACTTGAAAACGTTGAACTTGAAAGTTGTTGGTTTGGAAACCCTTCGGCCTGTTGGGAACCATGTCAAAGATCAGCACCTTGCTGTTCCGAGGCCAAGTGACCCCATTCAAATAAGCAGCCAAAATCTTCTCGTGCGCCAACACCCCTTTCCTGATTGGTTATGGCTGCGCGGTCCCAATCGAAAAAGCGGGAACATTACATAACCTTCCCACCTGACGTTTAGAGCTGCTGCTTTAAACTCCCACTCCTGCTCTTGTCACCCCCAAAACAAATACAAACCAAAATCAACCAAGCAGCTGCTCCGCCCTGGCCGTAGGGCCGGGTTTGCTACCATCATCAAATCCCCGCATGTCCTGCACTTTGACGAGGGGGATCTGCGAAATGACTGGAGGCACTGACCACATCAGCTTCTCTGAGTCGGAACTCACTGCCAAGCAAAGCTGCGACAAGCGTCTCTTGTCGTTGTTGCTAGTATCCGCAGGCTTCTGGAAGTGCAAGGTCACTGGAACCGTGACATCGAGATTGTTGTTGACAAACATATCCTCCATGCTCCTGCGATGATTGAGGAGCGCCTTCGATGTCGTGTTGGATTGCATCACTGGAAGCTGGCAATGCGCAATGCAATGCCCTCCAAAGTGCAGCACCGTGGCCATGGATTGCAAAGCCTGGTTGAAGTACTGGGCGTTGGCGGGGTACACAGTGGCATCTACCAGGATCAAGGTGTGCCTCGAACTCCGGAATCAAACGGGACGGATTAGCCACGAAGTCTTTTTTCGGTCTGGAACCCAACAACACAAAAGTTCAAACAGTCTCTGGTTGCAGAACATTCAAACACTTAAAAGCAATGTGCGTGCCAAGGAACGCTTGATCACCGCCCTTGCACACTTCTGCAGAGAACTTTGCAAATTGGCCCAAGACTTGGGACATGTTGCCGTCGGGCTGCAAAATGAGCTGGAACCTTTCCTCCATCCAAGTCTTCACCCAAGACTGGCCTCTCCTGGGCATTGGAAGCAAAGAAGTCAAACATGTTGCGTCGTGCTCTCTGGAAAGAACTAAAAGCCAAACACATGGGAGCCAAAACAAAGCTACTAAAAGCCTAGGCTCAGTTGCCTGTCCTTGAGCCACTTGCAGTCCAAAGCTGCCTGAATGGCATCATTCTCTGGAGATGGCGCAGCCTTGCGCAGTGCAGCTAAGTCCACGTCAATCTTGAGCTTCAAAGAGTCGAGGGTGGCATTTGCGATGCGTTCAGCCAGCTCCTGCTCCTTCTCCTCCAATTCCAGTGCGATGCGCTTCTCGGAGTCTTGAACAATGGTCCTGCAACATGTCCACAGGGCAGTCCCTGAAGAAGTCACTCAACATTCTACCCATTCACACATGGCACACGTCCATAAGCCAACGAAAGAAATATACTCTTACAGATCAAATGGTTCAACTGCTCCAGGCAACGCGAGCAATCATAGAAGCTCCTCAGGAAGCCGATGTTTGTCACGTCACCCGGCGGCACTGTGGTCAGAAGCCCGTGCTCCAGATCAGCATCCAAAAACCCTTGAAGGAAGTTGGAATGCAACGACTGAGAGTGCTTGGCATATTCTTCACTACTCACCTTGGCCTCAAACATGGATCTGAAGTGGATGAATGCACCGCACATAGAATGGAGATGCGTAGTCTCCTTCACGCCCCAAGGCTTCCGGACACTGCTGCGATCCCAATCAGCTTTCATCCGCTCAATCAACAGCAAAGCCTGGATTCAGGAAACCCGACCAACAGCGATCAACCCCATATACCAACCAACAACATTGGTTCTTTCTGAAAACAAATCAACTTGAAAAATCAACATCCTGAACAACCAAGGAGCGAGCTCATTCGGCTCCGTGTTTGTGAGTTGAACCGCCCACTGCTCCAACACCCCTGTTCCCGAGGTGAACGCCGAATTGAAAATCTCCCGGCTGATTGTCTCATGGAGAACAAACTGCTTCATTCCACGGATTCGGACGGCATCCTTCAACCCTTCAGAAACTTCGCGCGCCATGTGTTTCTGCAAGTTGGCAATTGCACCACTCTCATGCTTGCCTATTCGGAATGCTTTCATGATCGCAGCTGCGGAACCCCACTCCTGATCACTGCAGGTCTGTGGCCGCTCCAGCCATGGACCAGGACAAGTATCTAAAAGGAAAAGCACTCAAAACCAAATCTTCCAACTCACAAAAAAAGAGAGCAAAAACAGCAAACATTATAACTATCAAGCAAAGGACATCAAAGCTCTGGTCGGACTCCCCGGCTTTCCGAAGGACATCCAGTTGCCTGCAGAACATGAAGGCATTCGGAGCCTTCCTTGTGGCGGCCGCAGCCATGGAGATTCCGCGGTTGCAATGCACAACATCACGGAGAGTGGAGAAATGTGCCACCGTGCCATAGATCACGCTCATCGATTTCTGCACGCTGCAAACAGTGTACAAAATGCACCAAAGGGCTGAAGAGTACAACCCTAAAACCAGACCAACCCCAAAATGCAAAAGCCCACAGAAGCCGAAAACATACTCCAGTCAATCAACGGCAGTCCTTGAAGTTCTCTGTCAGCTCAGAGTAGAGGTCCAAAGAACGGATGCCATCAGCCACCACGAGCGCTGTCAAAGAGCGCCGCCATCCTTTCACATAGCCAGTGCTGAAAGGCGCCATCTCACCTTGGATGGATTCAAGAATATTAATATACTGGTCAAGTCTGGGTTTGGGGGACAGTGGATGCACACACGCTGCCGTTGCACAAATCAAAACCAACTGACTGAACTAAGGGCTCAGCCATCATGCAAAGGCCGGATCGCCCGGTATGGTTTCTCCAAGAAGTTTTGGTTCAATTCCATGATAGCCAGTTTCTCTGTCCCGGGCAAATCACTGTTTGTCCTGAACCTCAGTGCAGGGGCTAGGAGAATTGAGACACATGAGCAAGACTAACTTCAGAAACTTGCAGACTTTGTTCGAACAAGACGCATTTGCTGACAAAAAACCCTTCCACCAAATAGATTTGTGCTAAGTCAACCAATTCATCCGGCTCCATCACCTGTGTGAGCCCGAAATCTCCTCTGAACCCAAGATGATATGGCCTCAAAATCTTGGGACCGGGGCTAAGATCTCCACTGTACTCAATCCTGGCCAAACAACAACCAGATCACCACATGAAAGCTATCCTGATGCAACATAGCGCCAACAAGACATCCACAGATATCCACGGGATTCTAAGAACAAACATGCCCCAGCCACGTCGCAGAAGGAGGGAATGTCGCATCCAAATATGATGCAAACCCAAACAGCTCCTCCTGACACAAGGCTCAGCCAAACTGTTTGGAGCAAATGTCACCGCCATGAACAAACAGCCTACGTTGAACTCGATCAGAAGAACAAGTGAACAAACTTGCTCAGTGCACCTCTGTTGCGTACTTCTTTTCCAGCCAGCGATCTCCACCACCAGCAGGGATGACCGTGTCCAAAGGCCTGGAACATGGCAGCTTTGATCTTGCTCGAAATGCAAATTCGGAACACGGAGTACAAAGGGCAAGGCCATTACTTACTAGACTATAAGTGGAGCAAACCACAAATCAAACAAGAAACCAAGCAGTGATCTTCTCAACATGTGGAAGGCCCTGCAAATCAGAACCGCTGTACTTCCTCTGCACCTTGCCCTTCTGGCCAGAAGGAGGCCCTGATGATCCAGTACTAACCTTCCTTTTCGCCCCCATGCGCTGGAACTGAGTAGACGGAAGTCAAAACACGAAGTTCCAACAAAGCTCTTGTGCCATTCGAGCTGCGCTGGCAAATCAATTTGGCAAACTGAAATTGTCACTGTCACACAACACGACATCATCACAAGAATGGAACCTAACACAAAATTAACTTAACAAACATGTTTTGTGCTGTTTGGCTGCGCACTGAACTTATGAGCTTCACAACAACAGCCAAATTGGTGCCATGTTGCACTTGGCTGATCATGTCCGACCAAATCAAAACTGTTCGACTGAAAGGCGGGCCCTTCTAGGATGCGGAGGAGTCTGGCCTCTGCTCAAAAACTGTGTCCTCAAACAGACTCTTCGAATCTGATTCTGTGCCAGGTCCTGCTTTAGGGTCGCCTGCCAGGTTCAAAGTAGGATGCAGGAACAAAGGATCTAACCAACTCAAAGCCAAAAACGAAACTCAAAGCCAAAGTAGGATGAAGGAAGAAAGGAAAGAATCGATCTAATCAACTCAAAGCCGTTGAAATCAACAAGACAAAACAGAAATGCGTTGTTCCCCGCCTTTGCGTACCAACTGCTTCTCGTGCATGAGAAGGGCATCATACTTCACACGTGGAATTTCAATGTACCCCAAGAGCATTTTTCCATTCTCACCCTGTATCGTGCGTGGCAGTTCCACTTCATCACTGGGGATTAGAACCAAAGCACCCCCCGCCATGTGAAAGTGGGAGCCGTACAAAGACACAGGCTGATCACCATCCGGCACACTTCGCAAGAAGCTCCGAGCATCTAAACTGGTGCACACAGCGCATGTGCTTTGAAACAAGCACCTTGTCGAGGAAAAAACACGTCTCACACTGGCTGGTCAGAATGAACACTCATTTGCACAAAGCTTGTCAAAAAAGAATTGCGACGCACAAAGCTACCATCCAATGCAGCACAAGAACGCCAACTTGCACTTTGATGGGTCCCTGCCCGTCAAAAGCAAACATTTCTCCAAGTCCTTGTGCAGCTGCTCCCCTGCACAAAGCGCTTCTCTGTCAAACCTAAACTACAATCAAAACTAGGTGCACAACTTCCAGGTCCAAAAATCATGCCTGTGTACTCGGTCAACTCGCTGTAGATCGCGAAGAAGCTGTCATCCGCGAACATCACACCAGAGGACATGATTTCCTGACTCAATCCAAAAATGACCCCAAATACAGGCTTGGCCTCCTTACACGTTCCTGCCTTAAATGGAGCATCACTCAGGATGTAGCATCGGGTACCCAAATCACTGCCTGAAAGTGAAATGTTTGACTCGGAAAATGAAGGCAAATGGCACCTGGTCCCACCTGGTGGTGTTGAAGTAGAAGATCGGTCAGGCTGGGTCGTCATGCTGGCAAAAGGCCAACAAGGCAGATCAAAGAAGCCAAGAAATTGCTGCAGAAATCATGTCATCACTCCCGCGCGTGATCAAATGGACCCGTCACCATTCCAAGTCTGTAGCGTCCGGTTGGTGACGGATCCAACCTCGGATCAGATCACCCCGTATGCACCGATGGACCCGTCACCATTCAAAGTTTCTAGTGTTGGATTGGTGACGGACCCGACTCAGAACAGACCATCCTCCCGATCCGTCACCATTCAATGTGGTTCCCAACCATTGGATTGGTGACGGATCCGACCTCGGATCCGTCACCAATCTGATTCTTTTGAACAGTTCTCAACCTAGAACCTGAGACCAACACCACATCAACTGCTCTCCAGGTCAGGTTTGGTGACGGATCCGACCTCGGATCCGTCACCAAACTAAGACTCAAGAACACAGGCCAATGGTGACGGATCAAAGGCGCAATCCATCACCAATTTTGTCAAAACTGTTTACTTGACTTTAACTTTTGTATTAAATTTTTGAAGAAGGGAATGCTGCCCAAATTTGTGCCATATAGTTTAG